TATTGATGACGAATTATCCGCAAGTGAAGTTGTGGCAAACACATTGGTAGACCTCAGTATAGTAATCCGTTGAGTGCTTATTTTGTTGCATAATGTTATTTTAGTTTGGTTTGGAATGCTTTAAATATCCACATTTTGTTGTATTAAAAGGATATTATTGTGTGTTTATTTTCTATTTATCAGTTATAATGACAATGTTTGTCTGTTATTTTTATTTTAAAATGATCACATTTTCTAGGAAGTACTTTTGTGTTCTCTTCAGTTATTCAGACAATAAAGCCTGAAAAGAAAATAATATATATATATATATGTGCGTGTGTGTGTGTGCGCGCGCGCGCGTAAATAAAGATTAAGTCCGATTGTGTATTTACTTAATTACAAACATGTATAAGTAGTGTTCATTCAAAAAGTCGGTGCACATCTTTTACTTATCTATGTAAATCCAGAAAATACAAAATGCATGCAACTTAATATAAAGTACACATATGCACTAAAGAGAATTGAAACAAATACATAATAAAATATCAGCAGACGCACTGTATGACCTCTACAGAAGCTGAACTAATCTTGTTGCTTCCTTTACAAAGTCTATATCAAATTTAATTGAAGATGACAAATCTTCATTCCTCGTCAAACTATCCTTAGAAATGTGGGGAATCTTGTAATTATTCCCTCCAAAACATTTGAAGACTTCAAGCATGCATTTCTGCAAAGTCAAAAACTTTGTTAAGATCATACATAGAAAAAACATCATAATCTATGATAATTGCAGAAAAAAATTCATCAATTGTAGTAGGAGCCTCTTTGTGCTTTATTGAATCAATAGCTCTAAAAAAACTAAGGTCCAATACATTTATATTTGGGCTATTTGGCGATTGGCTTAGTAAATGAATGTCAAAAACCAAGTTATGATGCAACATTTTCAAACTCAGTATCGCTATCATTGATATGAGGCTTAGCATTATCCTGCTGAATGAATATGGTCTTAGAAGCATATACTGACCATTTGTCTTTGATAGAAGACAGTAATTTTTGGATAAGACAGTCATGAATGACGTCTTTAGTAATTGAAACCATTGGTTTGGTTTCCATTTTACCCGTCGCACGATTCCTACTGTTTCTTTTAGAAGGGGCCTTATAAACGAAAGGCCACATTCCAATTTTGCAGTCAAATTCAATGTTAAAACTAGAATCAAATCTTGGCCAACAACTGCAGTAAGGAACATAATTTTTGGAATGAACCTTTTGGTTTTGCACATGCGTGTAGGTTCCTTTTCATCGGGCAAAAGGTAATATCTTTATGTTTCATTACACATATAGAACTACTTCTCATCTATGTGAATTATGTCGTGCATGTTAATAAAAGAAGGCTTATAGTTGAGTGTACCTAGATCAACCATTGACAAGAAAAAATGGACTCTTGCTTTCTATTTTCATATTTGAGAAGTGGTTTGATTGCATTTGTATATGTCTTAATGTCTCCTTTTTTTATCATTCTTTGAACAGTTGTCAAAGATGCACCCAATTCATGTGCCAAGCCATGCTGGTTCATTCGACGTCTCAGTGGAATTTCTTTGCTTTTATCCACTGAAATTTGAACTCTCTTCCTACCCCTGTTCCAAGGACCCTCTATTCTATTGCAAATTGGTTCACCAGTTTTTGCAAACTTCCAAATTATATATACTGACCTTATTGAAATGGAGAATGTGCTCGCAACTTTTTCAATAGAGCACGGATTCAACACCCCTTCTTGCTTTTTAGATAATAGCATATTTGTAACTAAAGATTTTACCTCTTCATTAATGTTTTTCTGTTTAGATCCATTTTTCGTCATCTCTATTGTTTCAGAAATAGGGGATGGATTGTCAGACTCTTTAGCATCGCCTACGTAAATGCACAACTGCATACTTGAGGGAGATGGAATATTATCTACTTCATGTAAAGTACTCAATGTAATAAGACTTTCTAAGAAACAATGAACCATTTCAGAACTAGTGGGAGAATTAGAAGGTATAGGGACCTAATCAAACGTATGTGCAGAAGTCATGGAAGATGGAGTTTTATTTTTTTTTTCTTCTCTTGCAATTTCATGTGAAAAAACTCAGATGTGCACTGTTGTTATATATGAGATCATCTGTGAAGAGGATGAGGAGATAGTTGTTGAATTAGAATCTTGGCTCTAAAATGAAATCTTCAAATGGTCATATTTCATAATCAAAAAAATTTTGGTGAAAACTTCCCTCCAAAATGATCTTAATTCTTTGCAACATTGCTTCAATCATTTTGTTATCTCAAAATTTTTAATCTTAAATCGTTAGTTTCAGCTTTAGTCAGTAATTTAGTTTATTGGGAGAAGAGAGCATGACATAATTGACTTCAATTGAAGAAGGGTGTAATAAATGCAATATTGAGGGTAAATTTGAAAAAAAAAAATTCTTTTCCTTAATTCCTATACAAACCAACTTTTGTCCAAATAAATGAATGGGAAGGAGTATTTACTTTCAACTGAGTTGCACTGAAGTGACTTCTTTTTATGAAAATTAAATGATAAACTTTATTAAGTAATAGAAAGCTTATCAACTAATAAAAAATATCAATGGAAGGAGGCATCTCTTGTATCCATATATTCCATTCAAAAATAAAAAAAAAGCTAACATAGAAACTTCGTGCAATTTAGTTTTTGGCTCTATGAGCACTAAAATGACCTAAAGATAATTTCACTTTAATAATAAAATTTTTTAAAAATTAAAAAATTTGAAAGATTTAGTTCTGGAAATCCAACCAATCAATTTGATAAAAGGGAGCAACACTCTTAGAATAATATATTTTTAATAAATAAATTTTGCTTATAAAGTTTTACACTGAGGCAAAACAAAACACTGATTAAATATGAACTTTTCATATAAAATTATAATATTTGTTGTCTTTATTATAATAAAAAAAAATCTCCATTAAAATTTTAATATCACTATAAACTATTTGAGTTACACTACAATACTCCTAAAACACTACAAATTATCCGTTTAATCAACAAATTTTGCTAAAGTTATTAATTTATTAATTTAATCTTTATTTATTGTTACATATATATCATAGGCCAAAGAGAATGCTAATTATATGATAAATAATACTTTAGAAAAATATAAATTGCTTCCTAAATTATAGTAAAATTAATATATAAGTATAGTAAAATATGTTTATTATAATATATTTATTCTAATTTTTATATCGCTGATAAATAAAACTTTTTGAAAATAAAGATACTTATTTTATTAATTTCAATCCTAAAAAATTTGATATTTTCAATTTCTGAACCCGAACCATATACACTTTAATTTAATTTGTAAATGTTAAGTAAAAAACCGAGAAAACCTCAACTTATAGAAATTTAAAACTTTCTTGAGATAAAAAGGTAAATAGAATCCCAAAAACACAATGTTATATCAACCTGGCAAATCAAAATCAAGCTAAAAAATGTGTTAGATGTTTTAACACCCTAATTATGATGTTACTAATTTTGATTATGTTAACATTTTGGCTCTTCCATTCAAAATAGTCTATTTAACTATCAATTAACTAAGAAAAATAAAATAAAATTGATCTAATATAGAAAAAGTTTTTAAGGGAAAGAATATAAATTGATCTCTCAATTATAGTCAAATTAACACATAAAGGATCTCTATTTTCAAAAATTAATTATGAGGTCCACAAGTTATAATTCCATTAAAATTTTGGACCTTTCGATCATAAAAATTTTATTTAAGTTTGCAAGCCTATGAGAGAGTGACTAATATTGTATAGTTTACAATATTATTCTAGCTCTTTCAGCCTCTTATTGAATAAAAACAATAATGAAATAAATCTTATCCTTTAATGATACTAAATAATGATAAATTGACTCGCAGAATTTTCTTATTTTTCATTATTTTATCAAATCACCGTTAAATCTAAACTCTCTACTATTACTAATTTCAAAAAAATAAATATAGTTAAACTCTTATAATCAAAATTAAAATGAAATATAATTTAGTATACCATTCATTTTCAACTACTTATCTCTAAATTAGCTGTACTATCTACTATAATTTTTTTTATTAATCTTTTTATAATAGCAATAAAATATGATGCAACTCTAATGAAATTAATAATTAAAATTAATTTTTAAAATTAGAGTAGAACAATTTAAAAAGTTTTCCCTAAAAAAACAATTTAACATATTAAAATCCATCTATCTATATAAATCTATAAAACTTGAAACATATTAGATGATGTGGCACAATTCTAAAACCTTAATTTATTTAGTTGGAAGTTTTTTTTTCATTTAAAGAAAATATTTTTTAATATCGTTTATAGATTCTGATAAAATGAAATTAATACCATTCATAATATGTTATAGCTTTTAATAATTGATAGAATTAATAATGTTATTAATATTTTAAAAATATTTCAACTTTTTATTTTAATAAGTATTTTTTAATAATTAATGAAATTAATAAATATCATTAACATTATTTTGAAGTCATAATGAAAATTATAATATAACTAATATCTACATGAATTATAATGAAATTTAAAAATCATTAATATCTCTTTAATTTTCATTTTAAAAGTACTTCATCTGTATCTATGTTGCCTTTTTATTTTATTTATTTATGAATGATATTAATTATATTTTTCAGTTTACATAATTATTATTAAAATTAATATTCATTTAAAATAATAAAATTTTGAGTTTCTTTTATAATAATTAATTAAATTAACATTAATATTTTTAAATAATAAAAAAGTGAATACGGGTACATTAAGTAATATATAAATTTTTTTTTCAAAAAAAAAATCTTACATTATTTTTTTCGTTAAGCATTTTTTAGTATATCCTAATAAATTAGTACACATCTTATATAAAACTTTAACCATTTTTAATAAAAAGAAATATGACAGGAAAATGAATTCTGACAATGAAAAGAAGAGACACAACAAAAGTGTTGATTTGCAATCAGATTTTTTTTTCTTACATCCCAATGGTTGAGCTTTTCTTTAGTTAACGTCACTGTACACTTATCAAGGATAGGAAGCTGAAGGGGAAACCTGAAATACACAACAACAGGAGAAGGTAAGAGCTAAATCTACATACCTCATATGGATGCCCAAGAAGACCAAGCTTCTACTCCTTCTCCTCCTTCTCAGTCTAAGCAAATCACCATTTATTCTTATCCAAAGGTCTGTTTCTCTTTCTCTTGCATGTCTGAACTTTTTTTTTTTTTTTTGTTTATATCTGTAAATCTGCTTTCTTCATTTTTAGACGAGGAAAAGGAAATCACAAGGGAGTAAGACAAAGCTGACCCAGATCCATGACGACTCTCCACAACCTAAGTCCGGCACTGAACTTGTGAGAATCCTGTTCTTCTTTCTTTCCTGACGTCTCATGTTTTTAAAAATTTCAATCTTCTCTTTAATTTCTGAATACCCACTAGCTAAATCCTCTGTCTTGTTCTTTTGTATTAGCTTAAGGGTTTCTATTTTGAGACAAGGTAAATATCAGTGGCTGCAACTTTTTTTTTTCTCAGTCTTCATTTCATATCCTGTGCTTATATTCCTTTTGTTAATTTTAGGGTTTTCTTTTTTCCTTTTCTTTTCCTAATTTTGGTTTTCTTGGTCAGTTTTGTTTTCAAAACCTTGAATTAGTTTGGCACCCTTTTGTGAAATTGTTTTGGAAAATTCCAAAAGCTCCAGCTAGCAATAACATTCACTTCCACAGCAATTTACCATCCAGGAAATGAAATTTGAACCTGAAGTCTATTATGATGCACATTGCTACCAAACCTCTGGTCTGTATTACCTTCAACTTAGAATCGACTTTGCAAATGCCATGAACTTATGAACGAAATGGGAGGTTTGCAGCTTAGAATCGAGTTTGCAGACTTGTATCTTCACAATTCCTCCAGCATGAAAGATGATTGACGAAATGTACATAATTTTGCAGTTGCAACTGTGCGTAGCATGCTTGGAGTATTTAATAGTGGAAATAAGTAGAGACTAGAGTTTCATGCTTTAAATCCAATTTACTTTTCAATTAACGTAATCTTTGCCATTATATAGGGTGCCTTATTTGCTGCTGCAATTGATTTCTGATATAGGTGCCTTATTTTGCTTAGAATTTATATTTTATTTTTCTGCTCATACCAAGCCTGTTGAGTTCAACTACAAACGTCAATGGCTACCTACATGATTATCCTGCAAAATTGATATTTGAGACAATTTTTAGTGCTCTGTTTGTTTCTTTCTTTTTTTTTTTTTTTTTTTTTTTTTTTTTTTCGTTTTTTTTTTTTTTGTTTTTTTTTTTTTTTCTTTGGTTTTTCTGCATGCATTAATTGTATGATTTTAGAGAGTTATTATGTTAAATCGGAATTGATTCCTTTTTTTTTTTTTTTTTTTTTTTTTTTTTTTTTTTTTTTGGTTTTTCTGCTGCAATTAATTGTATGATTTTAGATATATGTTAAAATCGTGAATTTGATTCCAAAAAGAAAAATCTGTGATTCACTTGTACAGGTCTTATATGATAAATCAGGCAAGTCTACAAGGTGAGGGATTTTTATTTACGTTCACAGTTATTCAGGTGATAAGAACTAAGAGTAATCCTATCTTCTTGCATTGATTCCTTTCTTCACATATTTTTAAAGCTATAAACCAAAGAGAGCTGTTGTCAATGACTTCTACGATAACTCGGAATCCAAGTCTTCTGCTATGGAGCGGGCAGAAGAGATTCAGGCAAGTCTAGAAGCTTCATTCCCTAGCTTCGCAAAAGCTTTGGTTAGGTCAAACGTAACTGTGGGATTTTGGATGGTAAGCCCGATATTCCAAAATTGAAGATCAGATTCTATCTCTCATGCATACACAACATTTTAAGTTCAATTTCTTTGATGGCAGCATCTTCCCATGCGATTCTGCAAATTGCATTTGCCAAAGAATGATACAACCGTGTTCTTGGAAACTGAAGATGGAGAAGAACACATTGTAAATTATATTGCAGAAAGGACAGCATTGAGTGGTGGATGGAAAGCATTCTGCTCCACAAACATGTTGCATGAGGGTGATGTTCTCATTTTCCATTTACTCAAACCTTTAAGATTTAAGGTACACTTTGCTGTATAGTTTTGTTTTCTAATTTAGTACATGTTTAGAAATAAAATGATTAGGAAGAATTGTTTTAACTGTTTGAGAAACACCTCTTCACCCCTCTGTAATTCCAATACAAACTTGGGTGTTAGAGGCTTTTCAAGGCATGGAGAATCTTGAGATTAGAAATGCCACCGAAGCTCTTCTAGATAATGGCATTTAGCCTTTGGTTCATCAAATTAGATGCTGAAATAGAATGAAAGAGTGGCTGTGATCTCTGTTGTTCTTATTAAGAGTTCACTGAGCTATGATCACAAAATCCTATCAATTGTTTCCTCTTTTGATTTCTCAAAATTTGTAGTGAGAAATACAGTTCCAACTTGTATAATTCTCCGAGCATGCACTCACACAGGCACGCACAGACATTCACGTGTATGGAATGACACTTTAGCAAATATAGACATTGCTCAGTTCATGGAAAATGGAAGCAAATATTCATCATACCATGCAAACAGAGAAAGAACTAGAAATCTAAATCTGACCTTTGGCTGAGATATGGGCTAAATTGTCCTTTATTTGCATATGGGTTGGTCTATTTTCCAAATTATAGTGCTTCAAAAAGTGGTTGTTTGGCTATTTCTATGGGCTGCTACAGTAGTCACCCTGAGCATCATTCTTGTAGGTGTACATAGTGAGAGGAACTGGTACAGCCAAAGCAAATGGGGAGTTAGACAGTTTAAAAGTGGATGCTCCTGAAGAACAAATCAAGTTTGGTACGTAAAGTTTCTTTTGTGGCTTTAGTTACAGTTTATGATGCCATGAAGTTACTGAATTTAGTCTCTTGTTTCTTTGCCTGTTAATATAAATTCAAGTGGATAAAGACATAGAAAGCAATAAAAGGACAAAAAATTTGGACGTTAGTCCAGTAGGCCTTATGCAGGAGCAAAACGAGGAGAAAAGCCTTATGATTTTGAAAGAAGGGCATGGAGCAAATCAATCTGATAATGAAAATGAGGATCAGGAATCTAAACTTTTGGAAGTTACCACGTCTTCAGGATCTGTAATAAATTTTAAAGATATAGACAGCATTGAGAGTTTCAGCGTTCTTGTCAATGATTTAGCAGTAGACTCAGAGCTCTCCGATCACCATAGGACTAAATACTATGAGCTATGTTGCTCACAAAGCTCATTTCTGCATGACAATCTTCTCAAGAGTATTAATTATAAATTGGCAGCTGAAATAATAATCGGAACTGTTAACATTTCCGAGGCCATTAGAGCATCCACACTTTCCAACTCACATGCAGATTTTGCAGTATGGGACAAGACTTTGAAAGGTTTTGAGCTGTTGGGCATGAACGTTGGCTTCTTACGTTCTCGGTTGAACCGGTTAATGAGCCTTGCCACAGAATCAGAAGAGGCAGTGGAGTCAGAGTGTAGAGAAGTTAGACTAGAACAAGCTCGTATAGATGAGGAAATGAAAAGTCTTGAATTGAAGCTTACTGAACTGAAAGAAGAAAGGGAGAGGCTTGATGCTGAGATAGAGGCTTTGAAAGTGAATGCTGAAAAGCATGAGCTTATGTTTCAGGAAGCAGTCAACGCCCCGTGGTAGGAAAATGATTTTCCAAGCAAATTAATCTTGTGTTCTAAGAATAACTGACAATGATGGTAAACGTTTCTCATGCTAACAGGATGTTTTAACAGAAATTTCACTAATAAGTAGTGAAATAGTGTATGATTGCTGTAATTCAATGTTTTAAATTAGCAGTCATGTATATTAAACTTGCAGAAGATGTATTTTAGGCTATTTTTCTTTTTTTTGTCCCCCTTTGAGCTTTGACCATTTAACTCATACTCTCTCACTCGTTTTCCTCTCTTCTAATGTTTTTTGGGGTAATGGATATTTTGTTCAATGTTTGCTTGGGTGAATTCGCTTATTATCACTGAGTTTTAGTATTGATTATAGAATTACAAATTTCGAAAATTTGCAAAAGCAACATATTCGGTTAAGAGTCAAAATTTGAGTTGATGGTCTTCATATAGAAGTTTGGATGTTGACGTTTGAATTAGAGTTCGAAGTAAATTACCTATAATTAAATGAAGGAATTCACTTTTAAAAATAAATTCGGTGTTTTGAAAGAGAGAAAATACAAGTAAATTACCTATAATTAAATGAAGAAATTCACTTAAAAATAAATTCGGTGTTTCGAAAGAGAGAAAATACTAGGAAAATAAATAAACTCGTGTTTTTTATTATTGAAATATACTTTCTCTGTCTCAAAATAGAGAGAAAATACTAAGAAAGTAAATAAACTCATATTTTTTATTACTGAAATATACTTTCTCAATTTCAAAATATAAGTCGTTTAAGGTTTTTATACAAGCAGTAAGAAAATTATTAACTCTCTTAGATTATAACAAAATAAAGATAATTTGATTAAATTATTCTTTATCGTATATAATATAAATAAGGGTAACATTGAAAAAATATCATTTATTACTCCTTAAATTATTCAAAAGGATAGGCATTAATTACGTAGCGGATACAAGGGAATAAATCTTCATAAATTCTGATGTTAAGTTGACTGTGATTGTCCATGTAGAAAATTATTGATAAGTCCTTCATCATTTGTATTAAGTATTTGGTTAATTAGTTTTAAGTCATAATTTTATTATATATTCTATCAAATGTCCTTCTATAAATATTGGCTTAATTTTACTCAAGGTCCCTCAACTTAGGGGGGGATCAATTTGAAGTCCCCCATCTCAATTTTATATCATAAAATTGTCTCAACTTTTACACTTGTAACAGTAAAGTGACTACAGTGGATTTCTATCCAATAAAGTATCAAAAATGGCATATTTAGACTAGATACATACAGTAATTTAAAAGAGCCACATAAGCCTTGGGAATGTAAATTCTCTTTTCTGCCTGTGTACAAACGAAATTTTCTCTCTCCTCTGCCTGTTGGTTTAGCGACGCGCTTGAGCCTTCTCAATTCAATTGATTTGACGTGTTAGTTTTTCCTTGTCATTTCTTCTTCTTCTTCTTCTTCTTCTCTCTTGTTTCTCTTTGGTCTCTATCTGGTTTTTCTTTAGCTTGTCAGGCAACGAGAAGGCGAGATTTTGATTTAGGTCTAGATAGAGAGTGAAATCGAAGGGTGAAGAAGACGCAAAGAGGGAGCTTGGGTAGCGCTTTAAGAAGAACAGTGTATTTGCACGATGGCAGCAAACCCACCAAGTTAGACTCTTGCTTTGTCTTCTCTGAGACCCTTTTTCTAGGGTCCTTTTATGCGTAAAATATTGTAATTGTATGCAATATATTGAAAAAATTTTAAAAAGGATTTTGAAAAAATTGGGGAAAATGATATATATTTGTGGGGTATGGTAGATTCTGATAAATCAATGAATTTGAATGTGTAAATTGATGGCTTTGAGTGCTGAGTACAACTTTTTTTTTTTTGTAGTTGTAGTAAATGCATGGGATCCATTATGAATAGGGATTGAGTTGTTTGGTATGGAATAAATATATGTTATGAACACATCGATTGTTAGCCACTTTTGGCTGGTTATTTGTTATGTTTTGCATTGAATGACTATGTTATGCTACTGAGGTTGTTGGTTTTGAGTTAATGAATTTAAATTATGATTTGATTGTTATAATTATAGCTATTTCACTTGAATTACCTAATACTTAAACTTTGATTGCATTGTTACAGGTGATATTAGTGATAATGACCCACTAGATTTTGATATTATAGTGCATTATGGTGAGAAAATGGGTGAATGGGGATAAAATAATAGGGAAGAGCTAGAATTAGGGCATTGTAATGCACATAAAATGAGTCTCGTTTATATAGATAACCTGTTTCAATTGAATGGTATAAAAGGGTTGCTTAGGTATTATTGGAAGAACCCTCATTTAGATTATAATGATGGGCTTAAGGTACTAGAGAAAGATAGTGATGCTTATGAAATGGCACTACATGGGAGTGATGTTGGCATAATTCATATGTATGTGGAACACCTAGCAATTGATGACATAGCAAATGAGTTCAACAATGTAGGTAAGGGGGAGGTGTTGTAATTGAGGAAATAGCTGATGAAGCAAATGAAAACATACCAATTAGTGAAACTTCAAGTAGT